TGGGTGTCACAGACACCATGCATTGTGGGAAAAAAAAAAGCCCATCTTAGAAAGTAACATACTGGGTGCTTCCATTTATGTAGCATTCCTCTCTAAATGATAGCACTGCGGAGACGGGGAACAGAGTTGTGGTTGCCAGGGTACGGGGAAAGGAGTGGAAGTGGGTACAACTGTGAAGGAGAAGTGAAAAGGTGTTTGTGGTGAGGGAGTGGTTCAGTACCTTTGCTGCGGTGGTGGTTACACAAACCTACCCCAAAATAGCACAGAACTACACTCATACACAGGGGCATGGACAAACTGGTGACATCTGAGTGACGTTTGCAATCTAGTTATCAGTACTTTGCCAATGTCAGCTTCCTGGTTTCGATGTTGTACCACCATCTCTCGTGTCATTATGTAAGATGTTCCCATTGGGGGAGGCTGGGTAAAGGGTACATAGGCTTTTCAGCACTATTTTTGCAACTTCCTGTACATCTATAATTATGCTGCTGTGGGCCTGCTCTGTGCAGTTTCTTAAGAAGCTGGGATTTGTGTCAGCTCATCCCTGAGTTAGGAGCCTTTCTCCAGCTCTCTCCTCTGCCCTCCACAGTAACAGAAGACAGAAAAGGGGAAAGAGAATGAGCTCCAGGGCTTCCCTCCCCAACATGCTTCAGGCCTGCAGAGGCCCCCTCTTCGCTCCCAGAGTTGAGCTCCGTCCATCAGGAAGGTTCCTTCTTTAGGCTAGTCCTCACTTGGGACATTCAGGATGATAGGACATCAGAGCCCAGGCCCAGAATATTCCTGGGCCCCTGCCTCCCTTGTCTCTAAGAAACCTCCCACAATGTACTTTACACAAAGACGTGTAGAAGGGTGTGGAGAGAACATCTCAGGACGGTCTTTGTAAGTCCAGGTTCCTTTGCCCAGGTTTCTCCATTGCCGTGAGTGAAGGCTGCCACCCTCAGGGCCCTGTGTGGGCAGCAGGAAGAGAGAGCCTGGCCATAGCCAGAATATGCCATGAGCAGAGTTTGCCAATGTATGTCCAAGTACTGAGGGCTGCTGCTCCATCAAAAGGTGCTGAACGAGTGAGTGGATGGATGAGTGGGGGACTTCCTGAGCTCTTACCTCCTCCAGCCTCTGCAGCAGGGTCAGGCTGGGAGCAGGGGCTGAGGGGGCACTCAGTGATCTCTCAGAGCATCCGCCCCCTTGGCCACAATCTCTCAGCACCCCCACGGGACTTCATCTTCAACAGTGAAGATCCCAGGAGAGCTCTTTTCGTCATAAGTCTGAGTAGATGTAGACCGCCTCCCCCCTAACCCCAGACTTCCTTGAGATTCTTATCTACCATGGGGCACAAACTTCCCCGGGAACTGATAGTCACAAATGACACCCACCTGTGCCTCCCACAGGTCCCATGGGCTGGCCCCCTTCTGCCTTTGTAATGGTATTCAGCACCAAGCCAGCACAGTATTTCTTTTTTTATATTCATTTATTTTTTGACAGGCAGAGTGGACAGTGAGAGAGAGAGACAGAAAGAAAGGTCTTCCTTTGCCGTTGGTTCACCCCTCAATGGCCGCTGTGGCAGGCGCACTGTGGCCGGTGCACCACGCTGATCTGAAGCCAGGAGCCAGGTGCTTCTCCTGGTCTCCCATGGAGGTGCAGGGCCCAAGCACTTGGGCCATCCTCCACTGCACTCCCAAGCCACAGCAGAGAGCTGGACTGGAAGAGGAGCAACTGGGACAGAATCCAGCGCCCCGACTGGGACTAGAACCCGGTGTGCCGGTGCCGCAAGGCGGAGGATTAGCCTATTGAGCTGCGGGCTGACACAATATTTCTTTTTTTTTTTTTCTTTCTTTATTTTTTTTTTTACAGGCAGAGTGGACAGTGAGAGAGAGAGACAGAGAGAAAGGTCTTCCTTTGCCGTTGGTTCACCCTCCAATGGCCGCCACGGCCGGTGAGCCTATCCAAAGGCAGGAGCCAGGTGCTTCTCCTGGTCTCCCATGGGGTACAGGGCCCAAGCACTTGGGCCATCCTCCACTGCACTCCCTGGCCACAGCAGAGAGCTGGCCTGGAAGAGGGGCAACCAGGACAGAATCCGGCGCCCTGACCGGGACTAGAACCTGGTGTGCCGGCGCCGCAAGGCGGAGGATTAGCCTATTGAGCCGCGGCGCCGGCCAACACAGTATTTCAAGTAAGGACATCTCATGGGAACATTGCCAGCATTCATATCTACGTGTGGCCTTCATGGGAGATTTCTATTCAATGCAGGTACACACGGTCAAATCAAACTTAGGTCTCTTTTTTCACCCAAAGGATGGAGATGAAATCATTCAGTGTATGCAGAGTATGTACTGAATTGTGTCCTTTGTTTCCAAACTCCTCCGTTGAAATCATGAGCCCCATGGTGACTGGAAATAGAGCATGTGGAAGGTAGTGAGGCTCAGATGAGGTCTTGGGACTGTCCGAGGACACAGAGATTGCTCTGTCTCTGCTGTGTACTGTGAGAAGGGAGCTGTTTGCAAGCCATGAAGACAACCCTCACTGGGGGCCTAATTGATTGGCATCTTGATCTTGGACTTCTAGATGCCAGAAATGTGAGAAATACCTGTTATTGAAAACTCCAGTCTATGGTGTTTTGTCAGAGCAGCCCTCTTTGACCAAGGTGAGATTGTAATGGAGGAGTCAGCTAAAGGCCACTTGAAGACACAACCCCAATTGCCAGCCTTGACCCTCCTCCAGCAGATTCTACCTACCCAAGCTGACTTCTGATAGGGTCCTCAGTGGTCCCTTGATGAATCATCAGAAAATGACCTTTTTGCTAAGATTTGACACATAGACATTGAAATTAGTTCTGTTTCTTTATTAAGATTTATTTATTTATTTGAAAAGCACAGTTATGGGGTTGGGGGAAGATCTTCCATCCATTGATTCATTCCCCAGATGGCCGCAACAGTCAGGGCTTGGCCAGGTGGAAGCCAGGAGCCAGGAGCTTGATCTGGGTCTCCTATGTGGGTGGCAGGGGCCTAAAACATTTAGGCCATCTTCGTCTGCTTTCCCAGGCACATTAGCAGGGAGCTGGATCAGAAGTGGAGCTGCTGGGACTCAAACCAGTGCTCATAGAAGAGGCTAGCATTGCAGGTAGCGGCTTAACTTGTGGCATCACCATGCTGGCCCAGAGGATAGTGTTGTTTTGTTTTGTTTTGTTTTTTGACAGGCAGAGTGGACAGTGAGAGAGAGAGACAGAGAGAAAGGTCTTCCTTTGCCGTTGGTTCACCCTCCAATGGCTGCCACGGCCGGTGCGCTGCGGCCTGCGCACCGTGCTGATCCGAAGGCAGGAGCCAGGTACTTATCCCGGGACAGAATCCAGTGCCCCGACCGGGACTAGAACCTGGTGTGCCAGCGCCGCAAGGATTAGCCTAGTGAGCCGCGGTGCCAGCCGATAGTGCTTTCATAATTGCAAAAACAAAAACAAAAACCCACACACACATTTTGGGGCCAGCACTGTGGTACAGCAGGTTAACGCCCTGGCCTGAAGCACCAGCATCCCATATGGGCGCCGGTTCAAGAGCCGGCTGCTCCTCTTCCAATCCAGCCCTCTGCTGGAGCACCTGGGAAAGCAGTGGAGGATAGCCCAAGTCCTTGGGCCCCTAAACCCACATGGGAGACCCTGTAAAGGTTCCTGGCTCCTGGCTTCGGATTGGTGCAGCTCCAGCCGTTGTAGTCAATTGGGGAGTGAACCATCAGATGGAAGACCTATCTTTCTCTCTCTCTCTCTCTGACTCTCCTCTCTCTGTGTAGCTCTTTCAAATAAATAAATAATTTTTAAAAAATCCGCATTTTGATAATAGAAAAAACAGTTAAGGAAACTAAACTCAACATGATCTTCCCAAATAAACACAACTCTTTGCATTTTCTAGTCCCTTTCCAGTCTTTGTTCATACATGTGGACTTGCTCTGTGCAGCAACAAGCAGGGATTTATTTTGTGTTCTGCTTTTGCCCTCAACAGAACACTGTAAGCAGTCTGCACATTGCCACTGCTCTCTTGATATGTTAGTAGCTGCATAATCACCCTCACACTTGTTGCACCATAATTTCCTTAACAAATAAATGACATTATTTCCGACTCTTTTGTCCCTGTAGCTGATGTTGTATTGCCTTGTGTTGGACGCTGGTCTAAAAGCAGCCTGGACACTGTGTCAGCTCCGAGCTGGCAGTTCACATCCTCCTGTGCCACATGAGTCCCCACACTGCTGGTCTCCAATATCAGACTCTCAGTGGATCACAGGTGACTTGGAAATGGCACAGTTTCCTAGCCTGGTGACATATCTGAAGAAAGGCTTGGAATGCAGGGTCTACTTCTGCAGGAAATCAGCCTGTGGTCACCTCACAAGAAGTGGATCTGGCAATGTGCATGGGCTTCCTTGTGAATGGGACAGAAGCTGCCCTGGCCTGCTCCATGCCTATGAAGCTATGTTGGCCCTGGGTTGGGGGCTGCTACCCCTCCATGAAACACTCCATTGGCAGGGCTGACAGGCAGGGTGCCCCATATTTCTATGGTCAAGATTCAAGTACCTGACTTGAGGCAGAGAGACCTGATGTTTTCTTCCTGGAGGAAGCAACACCCTGATGAAGTCAGCCCTTGGTTCAGCTACCCAGACCCTACAGCACCTGGGTGCCATCCACTCCGAGCCCTTCTCTCCCATCACAGGAGCAGCTCCTTAGCCTGCTGGAAGAATCTCTTTCTGTACATGTTGGACCAAGTCTGTCTCTTCTGCCTGTAAGCAGAGGGTGTTCCTGGATGCACCAGACCTCCTGCTGCAGGGGTCTTCAAGACCCCGGGGATCCTGACTCCATGTCAGCAGAGGGGAAGGCTGGCCAGACCCAGGCCTGCCTTGGCCCAGCCAGCGCCTCCTCTCTCTGTTCTTTGTGATTCAGTCATTCATCACTTGGGCCAAACAAACCTTGACAAAGGACAAAGTGATGTCTTCGATCCTGCTAAAAGGCAGCCATGCCGGCAAAGCATCCCAGGGGAGGGATCAGGCCCAGGCCCCACTAGAGTTCCTGGATAGAGCTCTTCCAGCCGGCCAGACTTCCTTGACTGAGCCAAACGCAAGGAAATTCAAGGATCATCTGAATCCCCAGCCTGGCGCCAGCCTGCAGTAGTCAAACAGGTGAGGTCCTGGAGCCAGCCTGGACTGGGCTTGCTGCCAGCAATGCCACTCCCTCCTCATTAGCTGGGCAAAGAGCTTACTTCTCTGAACTTTGGCTTCCTCCTCTGCAGAATGGGTGCAATACCCACATCTGAGGGGCTTCGGGAGGACTCCACACCAATGTCTGTAAAACGACAGGTTCCAGATCAGAGCCATTTCCCTGTCACTGCTTCTCTGTCTTCAGGGGTGTCCACAGCGTCACTCAGCAGAACCCCAAGGCCTCTGGGATGAGCTCCAGGTGCTTGTGAGCATGGCGGCCCTCCCCCACTGTGCCCCCACCATCACTTCCCTAAGGACACTCTGCCAGTACAGGGAGGAGGGCAGCTTCTTTCCTCCGGTGGAATGTCTCAGAGGTGAGAGGATGCTGGGCCGGGTCCATTTCTGAGGTTCCCAGTACATTAAAAATGCGGAAGTTACAGGAATTGCGGCAAGTTCAGTATCTACATCAGGGAAGGAGAATCCTTGTGTGTGAACTGCAAAATGCTCATGAAAAATGAAATGAAAAGATGTTTCTTTTGGTGAAAAGTATTTGAAATCATACGTATGAGTGCATTTGTGTTATTGACAAGATACTTGCGTTCAGTACATTTCCTGGTGAATTCCTAGCACAAGATGCAAGACGTCTGGGGGTGGACATCTGCTGATTAAGAGTTGCTGGAGTTGTGGCTGTCACCTCAAAGTCTGAATTTCTGGGGAAAGATACAACCCAATCCCATGGAGCAACTTCACTAGCTCCCACTCCAAGAGCACAGTGTGGTGAGGGGCATCTTTAGGTGATTGGGAGCAGTGGAATTAAGGGTGGGATACGGAACCCAAGCAGCCACTGCTACTGTTTGAATATGGTTTGAATGTGCTCCCCACAAAGGTTCTGGGAGCTTGGTCCCCAGTGTGAGGATGCTCAGGTGTCCTAACTCTTAAGAGGTGGGGCTCAGTAGGAGGTGAATAGGTCATGGGGGCTCTGCCTTCATGAATATGTTAATATTGATCTCTCAGAGGGGCTTGGGTCTCAAGGGAGCGAGCTTGTTCCCTCCGGGATGGGTTGGTGTAAGGAGTGACCTTGGCTCCTCCTCTCCCCACCTTCTGGCTCAAGCACCTGTCCCCTCTGCATGTGGCCATTTCCTTTTCTGCTTCTCTGCCACGTTGTGCCACGGCCAAGCGCATCCTTCTCAGGATGCCAACAACACGCTCTTGGGCCTCCATAGCTGGAGTTGAATAACGCTCTTTGCTTTGTAAGGTGCCCAGCTTCAGGTCTTTTCTTACAGCAACAGAAAATGGACTAAGTCATAAAATGGTTGAGGAAAAAATTCTTCAAATACAAGCCACAGTGTATTTGTCATTCATCACTGGACAGCAATAGCTGAGACGGGCTACTTCGCAAAGAGTGGCCGGACAGTTCCAGAACTGCAGTATCTGGGAGCCTCGGCCAGTGATGCCGTTCTCGGGGCACAGTCCCGAGCATGCGCAGAACCTCGCCGGGTGGAGCTGGGCTGCACAGATGTGTCTCTTCTTGTAAAGGCACCTGAGGGGCAGCGCCCTAACAATTCTATCCAATCCTAACCACTTCCCAAAGGCCCCACCTCCAAATACCACAGCCGGATTAAGTTTCCACCCAGTTAATATCTCACAACGGGAATTAAATTTCAACCCGTGAGGCCTTGGAGGACACTCAGACCACAGCCCAGCCGCAGCAGAGACAGCGTTTATAAAGAAATGGCAGCAATTGCTGGAGTCAAGCGGTGGGCACACCGTGCTTCATGATGCTCTTATTTCCTTTATTTGACAGCGTTTGACAATGCTTTGGGATGACAGAAACCAATGTCCTGCGGAATTTTCTATCATATCGTGCCCTGGCGACAATGAGAGGCATAGGTCCTTCCTGCACGCTGTCAGATCCAAGTACTTTTAATTAACTCACACTTTGAACTTAAATAAATGTTTTAAGGGTAGCTTTGTCCAAAGAAGACATACAAATGGCCAATAAGTACTTGAAAAGATACTAACCATTAGGGAAATGCAAATCAAAACCACAATGAGCTACCTCCTTATGCTCTTGAGAATGGCTACTATTAAAAACAAAACAAAACAGAAATTAATGTGCTGGCAAGGACAGAAAGAGATGGGAACCCTTGGGAACTGCTGGTTGAAATGTTAAGTGGTGCAGCTGTTAAGCAAAGCAGTATGGTAGTTCCTATTCCTACAAAAATTAAAACAGAGAATTGCCATTTGATACTGCGAGTCCCCTTCTGAGTATATACGCAAGAGAATTGAAAGAAAGGTCTTGAAGCAATGTATGTACACTCATGTCCACCACAGCCTTATTCACAAAAACCACAGGTGGAAGCCACACGAGTGTCCCTGGATGGGAGAATGGATAAGCAAAATGTGGTTCATACATACAATGGGATGTAATTCAGCCTTAAATAGAAGGAAATTCTGGCACACGCTACAATACAGAAGAGCCGTTTTAGACATTTTACTAAGTGAAATAAACCATTCACAAAACAACAAATACCATACGATTCTGTCTACCTAAAGTGCCTAGAGTAGCCAAATTCATAGAAATTCACAAAAATAGTGGTTGTCAGGGACTGGGGATGTGGGGAAGGAGGTGTTTAATGGGTTCATGTCTTCAGTTTTGCAAAATGGAAAGTTCAAGGGATCAATGTTGATGATGCTTACATAACAACATGAATGTCCTCTATAGCTACAAAGGGTTCTTGTGGTAAAACTGATGCTACATGTATTTTACCACAATTTCTTTAAAAGATTTATTTGTTTATTTGAAAGGCAGAGTTACAGAGAGGCAAAGGCAGAGAGAGAGAGAGAGAGAGAGAGAGAGAGGTCTTCCATCTGCTGGTTCACTCCCCAGATGGCCGCAATGGCCGGAATTGAGCCAATCCAAAGCCAGGAACCAGGAGCTTCTTCCAGGTTTCCCACGGGGGTGTAGGGGCCCAAGGATTTGGGCCATTCTTCACTGCTTTTCCAGGCCATAGCAGAGAGCTGGATCAGAAGTGGAGCAGCTGAGACTCGAACCAGCACCCATATGGGATGCCAGCACTGCAGGCTTTATCCATTAATGCCAAAGTGCCTGCCTCCTTATCACAATTTTTATAAGGTAGCTTTGTAGTACTAGTATAAATAAAAATCCCTTTGTTCTAAAGAAAAGTCTTCCATAGAATTAAAAAAAATTACACCTCCAAATTAGAAAGTTACACTTCACCTCTAGATGCTGGGGTCTGCCGAGGGTGTACACAGAGATGTCGTGTAACCTTATTTACAGGGGAATTCAGCAAGTGCCAGAGAAGAACTCTGGAACTAACTTTCTCCTTGACAAACTCAGTGGGGCTGAAAGAAGGGTGCCAGGGCGCTGGCTTCTCCCCATCTGGTTTACATGGGGTGCTGTCTGTGGGCCACCATGATTGCTTCTCCTGCCGGCAGGCATGGCAAGCTCACACACTTGGCACACCCTTGTGAGGACAAGGGAGCACATTAGGCAAGAGCGGCAGGGCACGCTTAGGGAGAGGAGCAGAGCAAGGAGCCCCTAAGCAAGGAAGAGCTCCAAGCAGGTCCCAAATGTGGCCCTGGGTGGTATGGGCAAGGAACTCCAGGCCCTTGACCCCAAGGATTCCTTGTTCTGTAAGGCAGGCCCCGGTAGAGACAGGCCAGAGCATAGCCTTCTTTAAATGCTGGCCCAGGGTGGGGGCACAACTGCTTTGGTCCTGGGATGGTACTTTCTGGAGAAAAATGAGTAAGTAAGTGCTACTCCAGAGGCCAGAGCATGGTCTAAGCAGGCCCAGGTAGGGGGAATGGAACGCCAGGAATCAGACGGGGGAATGGGCTGACAGGACTGCACCAAGGAGGGGCACCAGTGTGCGTCCCATGTTTTCCACCAGCCCTGCATTCACAGCCTCTTCCTGGAGGCAGTGGTTCGGTTTTCTTTCGGCAAGTGCCTGCCCTGCAGGATTCTTAGCACCGGTCCTCTGATAGGGGATGCCTGTGTCCCAGGGGGTGACTTAATCCACCAGCCCCAGAACAGAGCGCCCCATTAACAGACAACGTGTGTGTATCTCTGTGTGTGTGTGCGCACGTGTGTATGGAAGTGGGGGTGGTGTGAGCGTTTGGGAGGTTGAAGGTGGGTCTCAGTATCTGTCAGTTCAGCATCAGTGCATTCAACCAACCCTCGGAACCAAAATATTAAAAAGAAACTGCATCTGTGCTAGATATGGACGGTCATTTTTGCTTGTCATTATTCCATAACAATACCATATAGCAATTTTTATATAGCATTTACATTGTATGGGTATTAGAAATAACTCAGAGATTTCACATACGGGTTGGGAGTGTGTAGGTTATATGCAAATACTGCACCGTTTTACTGGAGGGAGCTGAGCAAGCAGGATTTGGGGGAGGGCATTGGGGGTTGTCCTAAAACCAAGCCCCTAGGGAAGACTGTCCATCTTATTATCACCCGGGGCTCTCGCAGGTTTTCTTCTGGTCTCTGGAAGTCCTTCCAGACCATTCAGCTGCCCCTGCAGTTCCAGGTCTAGTAGGCGCCCACACTCAGTTTCACGCTCTCACCCATGATACTGATTACTCCACTTGCACAGTCAAATCTAATTTTTTATTTAAAAAAATTTAAAGCTTCAGCTTTCTTCTTGTGCATTCTGGCCTCGGATTTGTCCCCAAGCCTTGTAAGGCACCCAGGTTCCGGGCCCCAAGGCTACCGTGCCTGACGGACAAACTGGTTCAACGATGGCTCCATGGCGCCACGGCATCCTCCAGTCCGCGTGCGGGCGGGCGGGAGCGGACAAGGTCTGGCGCGCATGCGCGGGGGCGGGGCTGCGCCTCGGGCCTGCGCGTTGCCGCCAGACAGGCGGGGGCGGGGCGGAGAGGCGGCGGGCGCGCGCCAGAGGCGGTCGCGGGGCCAACCTGACTTTGTTCCCCCTTGTCCCTTCTTCGGGCGCACCCTCCTGGAGGCGCCCCTCCCCACCCCCGCCGCGTGCTCACAGGCGCTCCCTCCCGGCGAACCCGGCCCGTGGGCATGGGGGGAGTCCGCCCCCTCAGTCCTCGAGGGGCTCCGAGGAGCCCGCCGCGCGCTCCCTGACGTACTGTCCTCGCCGAAGAGTCCATGGGCGCGCCCTCGCAGGCCGGTCGCGGACGTGAGGGCGCTGGGCCGCGCGGCCGCGGAGCCGAGGAGAGCCGTTCTCGTGACCGGCGCCGCGCAGGCCGCGCGCGCGCGTCCCCGCCGCAACCCCGGCCGCGCCCGCCCCGCCTCTCGCCGCCGGCCCGGGAGCCCGGTCCGCGAGTGGCGGCGGCGGCGGCCGGAGGGACGATGAGCGGCACGGCGCGGGCGGGCCCGGCCCGGCTCGCCGCGCTCGCGCTGCTGACCTGCGGCCTGTGGCCGGCGCGGGCGGACAACGCGAGCCAGGAGTACTACACGGCGCTCATCAACGTGACGGTGCAGGAGCCCGGCCGCGGCGCCCCGCTCACGTTCCGCATCGACCGCGGGCGCTACGGGCTCGATTCGCCCAAGGCCGAGGTCCGCGGCCAGGTGCTGGCGCCGCTGCCTCTCCACGGAGGTGAGTGCCGGCCTGGGGAGAGGCCCAGCGGGCTGGGGGCCCGGACCCTGGTACCCGCGGTCCCCCTCGCGTCCGCTTGGGGTCCGGGTCTCCGTGGGCAGATCCCGGCCTTTTGGCGGGGCGTGGGGGAGGGATGAAGCTCCGAGGCATGATTGGGTTTTTCCCTTTCTTTGTGAAAAGCCTCAGAGCGTTCTTTTTCCGCCCGGTAGCTTGTTTACTGCAGGGCATTGAACTGCGAGTTTGCAGGGGCAGGCAGCGAGACAAAGGAGGTGGTGCAAGAGCGCAAAACTCCTTGGTGGTGGTGGTGGTGAGGTCTTAACCTGTGTTTCCCTGTGGCCAGGTCTGTCCCCCTCAGTCCCCCAAAGCGCGGACTTGGCGCTGCTTTGGCTCGCGAAGGATGGAGCCTTTTTCTAACGCACGCATCTGCCGTTTTACCCGCGTGCCCGGCGAGCAGGGGGTGGAAGAGGAAGATGGGCATCGTCCCTGTTGCTCTTGGCTCTTGCTCTGCCCTGGAGCCGTGCTGTAATTGCACGCCGGAACGTTTAACACCGCGCAGGACCCGCCCCAGGTGCAGCTGGTGGCCAAGTCCCGGTGCCATCCAGGGGGAAGGGGTGAAATGTTGAATTGTCTTGGAAGCCGTTTGGCTGGCCCTCCTAGTTCCCTATAAACGTGGGCTCTGCTGAACTATTTAGTGTGAAGTCTATTTGTTGAAGTGTCTGGGCGCTTTTTAAAGGCCGTATTTTGCACATCCTGGAGGGATTTTTCTGGTGGGTGGTCCGCTGGCAACTTTTGGAGAAATGTCCACTGGCTTCTTCACCCCCACCCCCACCGTCACCCTGAGAATACTGACAGGGGATTCAAAGCAAAAAACACTGCTTTTCATGTGAAGATGACCTGAAGTAGGCAGTCTAAATGAGGTGAGGGTGTTTGTTTTTATAGACTGAATGCTGGAGCATCGTGCCCCTCTGAGATCTGCGTGTGTATGTGTGTGTGTGTGTGCACCCGTGTGCGCTCTAAATTTCTGGAGGCTGTGGGGCTGGAAGAAGAATCGAGGAAAGCTTTTTTTTTTTTTTTTTTTTTTTTTTTTTGTAGTCCCTCAGCTTGAAGTGGGCTTTTACAGTTCTTTATACACCAACAGGTAGATGCTTCCCGTGTGTTTCTCATCCCTACTTTGTTAAAAAATGGCTTTTAGGATCCCAGCTTGGCTACAGAAGCTCCCTTTGTCTCTGGTTCATTCAGTAAATGTTTGCGTGGTCTGTGCCAGTCTCTCGGGTTGGGGCACATAATGTTGCCAAACGGTGGCACTAACAATGGGAGCCTATTTTCTGGTGGGGAGAACCGTGAGGGTCACGTGGAAGGGAGGGAGGAAGAGGAAGAGGCAAGCTGTGGAGCAAGAGCTGGCCCCGCACAGTGTTTTGAAATCTGTGGTTTGTCTTTGGCGCTCGGTTCCCGTGGGCCCCACAAGGCCCTCGCTTTAAAATCTGCTCCACGGTTGTCCATGTGCTGAAACTACTCGTTGCCTTCCTGTCACCTTTCTGTCACCCCAGACAAAAGCCCCATCCTTGAGAGAGCTTGTTGTAGGCGCTCCACTAGGGCATGTGTGGACAAGGTTAGTCCACCCCTCTCACTGGAGAAGCACTGTGGACGCTTTGAAGATTCCTGGTCAGACCTGTGTTGAAGGTGTGTGGCATGACATGACACCTCCGAAGTGGTTCTGTCATGCCTCAGTACCTACCTCGTAAGGCTGTTGAGAGGTTTAAATGGTTCCTGAATTTCTTTTTTTTTTTTTTAAGATTTATTTATTTACTTGAAGGGAAGAGTGACACAGAGAAAAGTGGAGGAGGGGATTGATTTTCCATCTGCTGGTACACTCCTCAAATGCCCACAGCAGCCAAGAGCTGTTAACCCGACTGAGTCTCTGAATTCATGGGGTTAGACATGGCAGCACTGAACCAGCCTGGGCAGTGTGAGAAGACTGAATGAGATCAGGTCCTCTAAATTTCTGCCTTCTCTCCCTTCCCTTGATTCTCTAGGGGAGACTCTCCATGCCTCATGAGATTGCTCCAGGTTTTCTCATGGTGTAGTGGTGGTGACCCCACAGGTAGTTTGAGTCTGGCTTTGTACCAAGGGGTCTTTGTTCTTGCAACCCAACAAATACTTATTTAAAATCCTTGGGGCTGGTGCTGTGGCATAACAGGTAAAGCCGCTGCCTGAAGTGCCGGCAGGCCATATGAGTGGCTGTTCAAGTCCCAGCTGCTCCACTTCTGATCCAACTCCCTGCTAATCTGCCAGGGAAAACAGTAGAAGATGGCACAACTTCTTGGGCCCCTGCACCCACGTGGCATACCCAGAAGAAGCTCCTGGCTCCTGGCTTCACATCGGCTCAGCTTCAGCCATTGCAGCCATTTAGGGAGTGAACTAGCAGATGGAAGATCTCTCTCTCTCTCTGTACCTCTCTAACTCTCTACCTCTCCACCTCTCACCTCTGCCTCTCTGTAACTGTACCTTTCAAATAAATAAATATTTTAAAAAATCCTACTATACGCCAAGCACCATTCAAGGCACTAGGGAGAAGGGGAGTAGCATCAGTGAACAAAACTGATAAAAATCTGTGTTTCTGAAGCTTTCATTCTGGTGAGATCTTTATAAGTTACTCTACCTATAAATTGTTTCTAAGTTGTGATTTATATGAGATATAAGACAGTCTTCTGCTTTTGCAGCAGGAGCTCAGGAATGTATTTAATGGAATGGAATAAATCTGTTAAAATTATTCATGCCTAAGAAAATTATATAAAATTGGAATAATATTTAGTTATTTTCCATTATAATTTTGATTTAGTGAATTTCAGAATCTCTATATTTTTAGGAAAAAAGTGTTCTATTCTTTGTGACCTCCGTGCTCTTACAGTTTTGATTTTAAGGGAATTCTTGACATGTTTATTGAGGACTTAATGTTTTTGACAGTAAGTAGAGTGATGTTCAAATTAAGCATATATGAAAATATATATATACCAGTTATCTAAATTCCTGGCTCAAAACCAGATGTGGGCAATAGATGTGAAATTCATGAAAATTCCTGTGAGGGTTAAATGTTGGATAGAAATGAATATATAGAGAAAAGAATTTTACCATTTTCCCTAGAACTCAACATGGCTCATTTTAAATCTGTGGCTTGACTGTAGGATTAGGAACTCTTTCTGTTGTTTTACAGTGCCGCTGTCAGTCTGGCGTGAGTAACTTACTAAGATTTATTTGTCCTCTAGCTTTAAGGGACAGACTGGCAATTTTTTTCTTAGGTGCTTTGGTATCTTAAAAGTATATTTTGCAAAATGTTGTATTTTGTTAAATATTTCATTAACAAGTGTTGTACTTTGAACATATGTTTTTTGTCAGTAGATTGCCTTGGTGAGTTAAGAGTCATCTCTTTGGATCTGACAAATTTTGTATTTTAAGTAGTAATTCATTTTTAGAGTCCTTATTTATGCACAGACCACATTGCTGTGTTGCTCCTCACTCAAACAGTAAGCTTTAAACTAGGAACAAATCTTGTAATACCTTTGCAGAGCAGTCTGACATGGCTCCTGCCCACTGTGGCATACACACTGTAAATGTGCTTTCTGTGTGTGCACACTGACTTTTTGTTTGAGCCCAGGATGGGGGCTGGGAGAGGAGCAAGTCCATGTTGATGATGTAATTATGCATGCAGATGTGCTGGTGGGAAGAATTTGTTATCAGCCACTTTTTGCTTTGCATACAAAATTTCAGAATTGGATGTTAGAGCCTTAGGGAACAATTTTACAGTGATAGGTCTTTGTGGCTATCTTGCTGACTGTAGTGATGCAATGAAATTTTTACGAATGAGTGCTGGGTTTTTATGTTTTACAAAAGTGGTTCTATTGGATGGATCCTTTTGAGAACCTAAAATTGGTTTCTCAAACCAATTTCTCAAATTCTCATAAACAGTGAAAGAGGTTGATATGGAAACAGGAATTTGGGTGAAAGGAGGCAGAGTCATGTAATTTATAATTGATAGGGGCAAAGGCAGGGGCTACTGGACATACAGATTTCAGAATATTCAGAGAAAACTGCGTTGGATCCTGAGTGTGCAGAAGGGAATGAGAAGGAGATGGAGGGTCGAAAACCCAATTTTGGCATAAATCAAGTAACCAGGCAAAAAGATAAAGGAAATACATTTACAATAAATTATATTGAACTCCACATCTTAGAAAATGCTTTTACATGCTGTGTTTTTCCTTCATTTTGGGATGATTTCTAATAGGCTATAAATATTAAAATATTTTTTAAAAACCGTTTGACCTTCCCACCAAATCCCTGTCCAGCTGCCGTCCCAAGCCCCTGAGGAGGGCTGCCTGCACCTGCTGCCTCCTGCTGTTCTCCACATTGAAGACTTTTGATCCTTGTGCCAGTGGTTTTGATAAAGACATCGCATATTTAACTGGTACATTGAATGACAGGGTCAGAATTCCTAAGATCTCAGGATGCAAAATGATGGGCTAAAGCTACCCAAGCTAAGAAAAAGATTGCTAGGAATGAATGCACAGTCCTGATTGGAGTTAATCACCTGACCGGGAATAGTTGAGGGAAGATGAGGCTCACGTGCTCATCCTGTGGCCAGACCTGTGAGTCTGCCTCTGCACAGCACCTGGGCATCTGCCAGGGCATCAGGATTCCACTTCATAGAGGCCCCACGGAACTCCAGCTTACCTTAGTTATGAACAAACTATGGAGCCTCAGTTTGAATGTTAGAAAAGGGAAACACTTCACTGGAAGAAGGATGATGAGACAGATAGCTTCCAAGGCCCCTCCCACCTCGAACAGGGTGCAGCTGTACTGTAGTAAGATGAGTCTTTTAAACAAGCTTGCTAGTGTGTACTCATTAAGGATGGTGATGTGCTTTTCAAACCAATCTCTTAGGACAGGTGGGAGTATGTGTGTGTCCATCCACATTTACTCATACATGCATATATGCAGCAGAGAAA